TCTTAACCATCGCGCCACTCGGCCGGCCCCTGAATGATCCCTCTTATAAACTCATCTTTTTAATCACAAAACACTTCAGTATATAACTATCTTTATCAGATGAGAATCTTTAAAATATATGTAATCATAAAATATATGTAATATCAGTATCACACCAGGGAAACTAACAGCACTTCCTTGATACTATCTATTATATTCTGCAGCTTCAGTCAGATGGGACAGGGCAGAAAGCCTCACACATCATCAGAGCCCGAAAAGCAATGAGAACCTGTCTCATAACAGCCCTTCAGGGTTGACAAGAAGGAGACTGGGAGACAGCCTCTTAGCAGCCCCTCATTCAGGTTAGCGCCAGTCCAAGCCTCCAACTCTATGGCCAAGTGAAAGGTTTCCAGGAAGCCATATCAGATCTCCCCCTTTACAATGGTGTGAACTTTCCATAGTTCCCTGAAATAAGCAATGGTTAGAAGGTCTCCAGAAGGATGCAGTGATGGGCTGAACGTCTGTGCCCCAGCCCCACCAAATTCACATATTGAAACCCTAACCCCCAATATGATGCTATTAGGAGGTGGGGCCTTTGGGAGGTAATTAGGTTTAGATGAGGTGGATTATAAGGAATCCCGCGATGGGATTAGTGCCTTGATAAGAAGAGATGTGAGATCGCTCTCCTTCTCCCCTTGCCATGTGAGGATACAGTAAGAAGGCAGCTGACTACAAGCCAGGGAGGGGGCTCTTACCAGAACCACACTGGTATCCTGATCTCAGACGTCGCAGCTGCCAGCAGTGTGAGAAATAAGCGTGTCAAAACTATGCAGGGCCAGTCGAGTGGCGTGATGGTTAAGAACTGGCTTGGGATGCCAGAGGGCCCCGGTTCGGATCCCACATATGAGGGCCAGTGACACTGTCCTGGAGCTGGGCAGCCGTGAGTTGCCTGCGATGGTGTAGGCTGCAGCCCCTGTGGCAGTGGGTTGCCATGGGCTACTGTGTGTGTAGCCAGCAGCGTGTGAGCAGCCAGCAGCCGCCATGATCAGTGGTCCAGAAGCCGGCGACTGATCGGCCTCACCCAGGAAGAGTGCAATGATGGTGCCAACTTGGGTCAGTGAAGCAACGTCCTCCACAACTAAACTGAAGAACAAAACAACAGCAACTTGTCTG